TTCTAGGAGATCCGTCTGCCACCAGAACTACGATTCCCAGCATTCCTGGTGCTCCCCAGGCTGGGAGCAACCGAGGGAGCCACAGCCCCCCAAGCCTCCGGCTCTTCTGCTCTGCTCTCTGCCTGGTGACTGAGGGAGTCACATTCCCCAAGGGAGTGACCGAGGGAGCGACCTTGGGAGCCATGTCCCCCCAAGCTGCCAGCTCTCCCGCTTCTGCTCTCTGCCTGGCGCCTGTGTATGCAGATCAACCCACCATCTTTGTTGGGTTAATTTGCATATTCACTCCCGATTGGCTGGTGAGCATAGCAAAGGGGCGGTCAATTTACATGTTTCTCTTTTATTATATAGGAGGATAGGATAGGATATCTGGTATTGTGATCCCTCCAACTTTGTTCTTCTTTCTCAAGATTGCTGTGACTATTCGGGGTCTTTTTTCATTCCATATGAATTTTTGGAGAGTTTGTTCCAGACATGTGAAATATGCCATTGGTATTTTATTGGGGATTGTATTGAATCTATAGATTGCTTTGGGTAGTATGGACATTTTAATCATGTTGATTCTACCAATCCATGAACATGGTATATTCTTCCACTTGTTTATATCTTCCACTATCTCTTTTTTCAACGTCCTGTAGTTTTCCAAGTACAGGTCTTTTATCTCCTTAATTAAGTTTATTCCTAGGTATCCTAATTTTTTTGTTGTAGTGATAAATGGAATAAAAGTTTCTCTTTCTGTGAGTTCATTATCGGTGTATATAATCTCTTCTTAAGAGAATAATATGAATATATTATATTCTTAACGTATTATAATTTCAGGAATCTTTTTCCCTTATTGACTATAAATTCCTCTGTAGGCAGAGCTGTCTAATTTATATTCACTGTGGCACAAATAGAAAAGTGCTCTGTTGCCTACTCAGTGTTTACAACATTGTTTTTCAGCCCTATGCCAGATATTTTTATTTCAATGATCTGTAGTAGGTCCTTCATCAAGTGATTTTACTGGGTAGCCAGGGTCAACAACTCTGGCTTACAGCCTTACCTTGAAATTTTCCAGTGCCCACTGCCAAATGGGTCAAGGACCTTAATGAAACAGAATTGAGCAGCCTACCTGAGAAAAAGAGTTCACAGTAATTGTCATAAAGATGCTCACCAAATTTGCAAGAAGAATTGAGAACATAAAAAGCACCAAACAGAAATTATAACTGAAATGAAAAATATACTAGAGCAGCCGTGGGCAAACTACTGCCCGTGGGCCGGATCTGGCCTGTTTGAAATGAATAAAACTATTGGAAAAAAAGACCGTACCCTTTTCTGTAATGATGTTTACTTTGAATTTATATTAGTTCACACAAACACTCCATCCATGCTTTTGTTCCGGCCCTCCGGTCCAGTTTAAGGACCCATTGTGGCCCTCGAGTCAAAAAGTTTGCCCACCCCTGTACTAGAGGGATTCAATAGGAGACTGGATAAAAATTAAGCAAAAATCAACAAGTTGAAAGACAAAGCAATGAAACACACCCAGACAGCAGTAAAATGAAAAGGAATTTTTAAAAGTAAAGACACTTTCAGCAACCTCTGGAACAACATCAAGCAGAATGACATTTGCTTTGTAAGGGTCCCAAAAGGAGAAGAGAGGGTCAGAAAAATTATTTGAAGAAATAATCCTAACTGGGAAAGAAAACATATCCAGGCCCAAGAAGCTTAGAGAATTCCAAATAAGATAAATCCAAAGAGAACCACACCAAGACATATTTTAATTAAAATTGCAAAAGTTAAGGAAAAAGAGAACAATTTAAATTCAGACAGAGAAAAACAACTTATTATGTACAAAGGAATTCAGCAGAAATTTTACAAGCCAGATGGTTCTGATATATTCATAATATGATTCAAATTGTTTCATAATTACACATTACCTTGTTGGTAAATCTTGGCACCTTATACTTTTCCTTATTCTTTTTTCTCCTTGTGAATTCTACTTTCATAAATACTAGAAATTATTTTTAATTTTTTTATATGTTCATCTGTCTATTTTAGACCAAAAATATTACTTACTCCAGCCTTAGCTGGTTTCACTCAGTGGATAGAGCATTGGCCTGCAGACTGAAGGGTCCTGGGTTCGATTCCAGTCAGGGGCACGCACCTCGGTTGCAGGCTCAATCCCCATCCCTGGTTAGGCCAGAGTCTGGGTGTGTGCAGGAGTCAACTTATTGATGTGTCTCACATGAATGTTTTTCTCTCTGTCTCTCTTTCTCCTTTCCTCTCTCTCTAAAAAATCAATGGAAAAATATCCTTGGATGAGGATTAACAAAAAAATATAAAAATAGGCCTTCAAGTACAAAGCCTATTAAATGCTGTTATATGGTTAGAGTAGGTTTGTGAAATCTGCATATGACATAAGATATGGCCTCAATTGTATTCATCATGCAGATGCTGCTGAAGTGCATTTGCATATTACTAATCACCTTTATAGGCATGTACTGTTAATAATATACCTTTTCAACTAGAAACTATTTGAAATTAGATCTATTGAAAAGTTGCACAATCATGTTATTAATTTATTGTTTTGTGGAAATGTTATTTATGTTATTAATTTACTATTAACTTGGAATGTTGAAGTCAGTTGGTGAAACTCTTAATCGTTCTGTAAGTGACTTCTCTGAATTTATTCTCTAGACGGACCTAAACTGCAGTAATCCATTTACTCCGGTGGAGAGGAGACGTCGAGAGCATGCCAGGCACATTTCCTTTGGTGGTAACCTGATTACCTTTTCACCTCTAAGGGCCCTCAGTGGAGAACAACCAGAAGAACTTTGAATGTAAAAATAATTCCAAACATTTTTCTTGTCATTATCAATACTGTGGGATATATTCTTAGAATACCACAAGGTTGAAGACTGTACTTTTGTTTGCTTCTATTCAACCGATTTATATGGTGTCATGTAATATTTTAATATTCAGTGTTCATTCAAGTGTGTTTTAGATATGATACTATTTCTCAAGGGAAGTGGGGATATTTTGTACAACAGCCATGCAGAATAAAAGATATACCATGCCTTGCCTCTCTTCTTTAAGATGTATAAGCTTAAAGCTAAGAACACTTACTCAGAGCTTATGACTACTCGCTTAATCAAAATATAATACTAAACTTTGACAGAAATATTTGTATCTTTTCATACTTTATTTTTAGTTTGAACTTTAAATTTGTCAGTGTTGAACAGCTTTGCATATTGATTTTCCAGGGCATACTGAGTTTGTTTGGATGAGCTTTCTGGCTCAGCTGATGTCAGTTTACATGTTATAGTTTCAAATGGTTAACTGGGTGCCCATTAAATTCCTGCCTTTCCTATTTTCCCCTTGACATGAATGACAGGCTTTGAAGGAAATGCCTTATTCCTTTGAAGAAAATTACGTCAATCACTTAATGTGTTTGAAATGTTTTCTCTTTTATAAAAATCTTAGCTATAGATTTGTAGAAGGCAGGGCTGTCAGAATAACAGAGCACCAAGAAGATTCAGAGTAGCTAACGCTTGTACCAGACCCGGGCCCAGTCATTTCTGCCTTCCAGTGAGTTGAACAATAAGCAAGAACTTTATGGATAACCCCCCATAAGATTAGGGGTTTTCAAACAAGAAAACACATGTTGTTTTATTGTCAGAGGAAGGGGTATTAGGCTTGTGGGAAAGACAGTATTTATTAAATCCATGCGAGCAGTTGGGAGGCTGTATAGGGTGCTGACTTAGAAGAATGTTCTCTAAATGCCTAAAGTTTTATCAAAAGATGAAAATAGCTTTTATTCATTAACAGCCTGTAATTGAACAATTCAAGCAAGACAGGCAGAACAAAGTAGCATACATAAAAGTTAGGGCTTTCCAAGGGCTCAGGAATGAATATGTAAAAGATGTTGGTGCAAAGTAACCAAAGTCGTAGAATCTATGGTGGTAAGTTTAGTAAGGTGTACTAGTGAATCATTTAGAAAGCTTTTGCTGCTATGTAATAGTAAAATGAACTCAAACTGGCTTAGCAATAAGGAATGTACTTCATAAGTTGTCAGGGTGATTCTAGGCACTTTATAATTAACAGTTCAATGTTGGCATCAAGAACCAACATTCTGTTGTCTTTGGCACGTGTCTGAGGCTGGGTCCTTTGGGATCATAATATAGCTGCTAGTGGTAATCAGAGCTATGTCCTTCCCTGTGGTCTAGTCAGGCCAGCTAATGCCACATGTCTGTCTGCAGTAAGACTGAGTGAGTGGGGGATTGACTTGAACTAATGATTCCCTACTGAATCTGGGATCATACCTGAATAAAACCACAATTATCAGGACATCGGGAATGGATTTTTGTGTTGGCAGCCATCAGTGTCGCTTACAACTAAATAGAGTGTTCTTGGGCTATTGGACTCCAGAATTATGAGGTATTAGGAAAATCCTGAAAGACTAAGTGAAAGAAAACTGCTTGGGTAGAACAAGACCCTTTTCAAAATCAAAAGGGAATTTTCATTTATTGAGGACCTACTATATAATAGCCCCTCTGCTACATATTTCTTTTACCATTGAATCCATTATTCATTATCAAGAATAGACTGCCCCAAATAAATGACATATAAACCATTAACTCTTAGAATATTTATTAAATGAATGATTTATGAGAAGGATGTTGAATAAAGGCAAAATTTTTCACTTACAGTGAGCATGAAACTTTTAAATGGGTAAGGTTTACATTCATTTTTATTTCTTAAAAGAATATCTGCCCCTTTAAGATTATATCATAGTGTGTGCAACACTATTGAGACTGATGTCACCACTAACTGCCAATGCGTTGATTTCGCTGAGATTTTTCATCCGGTGATTGTACTGCAGCAAGTGAGCATCATTGACTGCAACCTTGAAGTGGTCGGATTCAACCAGTACTTGGATCTGAAATGGCACGTACATAAAACTGTTAGAAATGCCCGTTGATTTCAAAACCAGTCTGCCCTGAGCTCAGGGTGTCCACATTTCATCTTTTGTGGAACAGATTAAAATCCTGAAAAAGTAACTTTACAGCAAAAATAGACTCCAGACTAGTCAAAGATTTACACAAAATAAAAAGGACAAAATTTTTAGAAGATATATAATTGAAGCCACAAAGGAATAAATACTGTCTACATAAATGATGTAGTTACATTAAATAATGTGTCTACATAAAAAAATAAATAAAATAAAGAAATAAAAGATAAAAAAAATAAAAAAAATAAATAATGTGTCTACATAAAAAGTTTTCATATGGCCTACAGCATCTAAAAGTAAAAATAAACACTAAAGTAGGGATCCCCTGATAGAGCAGCAAATGCTATGAAGTTGGATAATAACTACTTTGGGCAAGAAGAGGGAAAACATAGTCTTCCAATAATGGGTGTGTTTAATCCTTTTTGAAGTAGCACTTCGGCAATATCTGAGTTTTAAACATGTATATTTTAATAAAATTATTCTTCTAGAAAGCAAGGAAGAATAAGCAAAGTTAGTAACAGTGTTTTAGTAAAATAAAACCTTCCCAGATTTTATTGGTAATATTGCCAAAGTTTCATCAATAGAGCACTAGTTGAATTATTACATATCTAAACAATGAAACATATCTAAACAATGTTCTGATCCTGAAAGATGTCCATTAAATGTAGAATATGGTCCCTATTTGTCTCTGCCCTTAAGAAGCTTATAGTCTAGCTGTGTTATTGCCCACTCTACAGTCAATCCAACTAGTACTGTGAACCTACTAAATATTTGGTGAAGCAATGCTTAAAAATCAAAAGTGCTTTTTATCATAGAAAATACTGAAAAGATATTCACTAAGTTGCAACCTTCAGTATATAAAGGATAGAGAACTTTTTCAGTTAATTAAAAAATCTATACATTTTTCTTTTCATAAGCATGTATTAATTTTAGAATTAAAAGTTTTTGACTGTGTTGTACACCTGAAACTAATATAACATTAAATGTCACCTAATTTCTTTTTAAATTTTTAATTTAAAAAATTTTTAGTTTTGGTTTCTATGTCACTGTTTTTTAAGTCCCTCAGAGACTTTCTGCCTTTTTTATTAAAGATGCTATTTTTCTCATTTCCAGAAAAGTTTAAATTCAGAGGTGGTAACAGTATGGAGCTGGGGACCCTTTCCAAAATCCTAGTCCTGTTCCAGCCTACTGGTGATCATGGGCGCCTGGGATGGGGAGGAGCTGGTTAGGTGTCCCAGGCTAGCTCCCCAAAATTCATTTCAAGTGCATCTTGATTTTAGAGTGATTTCCCCATGAGCAATATGAATTATCAATACATTACAATAGCAATAACTTACTTTGAATGGTTTACCACATTCAAATGGGAAAATCATCTGTCTTTCTTCCCGTCCCCAGTTGTTATTCAGGTTTGAGTTGCAAACAATGACTCTCCTGTTGTTCTCATTGAAGCGTGGGTTAAAGTGGAAGGCCACATCATTCCCTCTCTTGAAATCTAAAACAAGTCTGTTCAAACCAAAGGCCAGAGTTAGTAAAATGATTCAAGTTGTGTATTTGCATCAAGTGAAGAACACGCGATTTTTCTAAAGAGCAAACCATTTTATAAAATACAGGAAAATTTTCTTAACAGAAAACAAACCAGAGAATGTGTTCAAGCTGTACACCAGGCCAAATATTAGTAAAATACTAAAAGTAAGCAGAACATTATGTGTTGGATTGTTTTGCCTCACTGTCTTTGGTCATATCATTCTCTTCATTTGTAATTCCCTACTTATCCTTCTACTCATGAAAACCCTTCAAGGTTTCTTATAGAGGTTTGAGGTCACTTTAAGGGCAGGTTATGGTTGCAGATGATATGGTTACCTTCTTCCTGCCCTGCCAGGGTGATTTTAATACTTATTGACGGCAAGCCAGTCACATAAGTAAGAGATCAACTTCCTGGCTTCCTCCTAGTTAACCAAAAACCTAGTCCTAAAACGGAAGGAATGAGATTATGTAGTTAATGTCCTGTTGCTAATTTGTAAAATCATGACAATGTGTTGAACTTTCCAAGATATGAAGTGGAATTGATGCAAGTGCTGGCTTAACTTTTTGACCCCGTTCCTTCTCCTTGGGTGTTAACACAAACACAAGTCCCCTGACTGTTAAAGTACTAACCCTACCCCCCAATTTCTCAAAGTGTGCTCCACAGACCACTAACATCAGAATCTGCTGGTACTCTTGTTTTAAAGCAGAATCTGCACTCCTGACCCGCTAATAATAATTCCCTGGGTATTTGGATTCACCCTGTAACGGACCCGACCACAGATGTATTCACAGGGAAAGGACCAAAAGAGTCAAATGGCAATAGAAATTGTATTTGACTAAATATCTAATGGCTAAAGATACGGTCATCTCTACCACCTTAAGCATTCTCTTCTAATTCCTTACATAGACTGTGCAGGACCAAGCAACAATTATTTCAGTTTCCTATCACCTTGGCCATTTCAACCAAAATTAGTTTTGATCTACCACAGTCTCAGTCTACATCTCTGGTGTAATTGGAGTTTAAGTTTTCAGTACAATAACCCTAAATAAAGACAAATATACCAGTGTGGTTCTGTGCAATAGGGGTTGGGAGAGGGGAGCAGAACTTAACAAATTGTGCCCTAGATGGTTTGGCTCAGTGGATAGAGCATCAGCCTTGCAGACTGAAGGGTTCCAGGTTCAATTCCAGTCAAGGGCACATGCCTGGGTTGCAGGCTCCATCCCCCCACTTCCCTAGTAAGGGGTGTGCAGGAGGCAGCAGATCAATGATTCACTCTTATCACTGATGTTTCTATCTCTCCCTCTCACTTCTGCTCTGAAATCAATAAAGATATATTTTTTAAAAATTAACAAATTGTGAGTGCTGTATGCACAGAATACGGTGTACTTATTGGGAGGAGAGATGGCTAAGAACATAGGCAGAAGACATATATGTTTTGTAATTTGCTGTGAGGTAAGCTTTAGAGTAGAATCCAGAGGAGGCTGGCTAGAGGTTGGAGTGAATGGGCTATTTGAATGTAAAATGAACAGAGCAGAAGCCAGTCATCTCCTGGTAACAGAGGAGGTGGTTCCTGTTGATTCACCAGGAGCAAGGTGACAGATGCTCATAGAGGCTGTCTGTGGACCCTCAAATAAACCTGTGTACACAGCTTGAGTTAGTATCTTTTGTATACTACTTATAAGACCCAGAGACCCATGAATTAATGGCTGCAGGAGCTGTAGTGGTACCACTAACCTCAGGGACAGGCAGACCGGAGGGCTTCAGGATAGATATCCTTAGCCTGTTTGTATTACATGTAAGCACAACCAGTGGTAATAACCAGAGCCAGGCGTCCCAGGGCAGCCACAAGTCAGCATGGACTTCTCTAAAGCAGCTTAAAGTCTTACCCCTCCTAGCTCACCTCAATCAAACCGGTTCCAATGGCCAAGTTTGACTTATGTGGATGAAGTCTTTCACTTGAACAATTTTTTCAAACCTTTCAAGTAAATAGTGACTCCTCAGAAGACTGGGCTTCCCCACCCTGCCCCTTGTCATCTGTAGACCAGGCCAACACCATGGGAATCTGTGACCCTGCAGTTGCACCCACTGTGAAGACGGGCATGGCAGCCAAGCTCGAGAGCTGAGACGGCACGGTGACCTGAGTCTTGCATGAGCATGAGGACGCAATGGAATACCATTCAAGCTCTCGGATCAACTCACCACAATGTCAAGTGGGACCTCTTGCTTTGGCATCCTACTTTTTTATGGTTCTCTAAAGTGCATGCTTGGCTTTTCAGACACTGTATGGTTCAGAGTGGAGGGATGGCCAAACATGACATTACAAAGACTCTACTGGCCTTTAATGCTAAAGCTTTCCCTGCCAGGAAGAACCCTGCTCTTCCTCTTTCTCCTCACAATGTAGAACTCAGTTCTATTCAGGTTCTGGGAGAAAACCAAGATTTGGTGAGAGAAACCTTGTCCCCTGGGTGGGAACACGTATTGATTTACGGGATAGTCCCATACTATGGAAGAGCCAAGACTCTAAATGTGTAGTTTTAAAAAGTCTATTAAATTTCCATATAGATCAGTCTTTATTCAAAAACCAATCAACAAATGTGTTAGACGTTTAAAGTTTGCTCTTACTTGTTTGCCTCGGGTTTTACTGTACCCATAATTGTTATCAGCATGCGAGGCATGACTCCTCCAGGGAAAGCCATTTCATGAGGCACAGTCTGGGGATGAAAAACATGTGTATTAATTCAGAGTCATGTTTTCTTGGGGAAAGAAAGAAAAAGATGTTGCTAACATTCAAATACTATTAATCCGTGTGACTAACACAACCTTAAGTTAAGCCATCTGTCCAGACTCGGGCCACCTTGCCCAGGGCCTGAAGAGAGAAATCCCCTGCGTGCACAGTATGTTTTACTCACAGCATCGGCAGAGTGCTTAGTGTGTGGCAGATACTCCATATTTGTGAATAAACATCTTCCAGTTAATACATTTCCTAGTCCATTCTGCAAATATTTATGTTCAAGGTACTGTAAATATTCCCAACGCCCCATCATTGGCCTCTTCTTTTTCCCCTTTACAATTTCCCCCAACCCCAGGTCCAACTATCATCCAAGTCTTTTATCTCTAGCCCTGATCAGTACTAGTCCCATACTTCCTCCTGGTGCTGCAGATTCAACAGGTACGAACTGGAACCGTCTCTCCTGCCTCCTTCCCCACCAGTCCCCTTCCTGGTGCCCTAGCTGTCCGGTCTTGAAAAGCCAGTCCTGTCTAACTCCTAAGACTTAACCAGCAGATCCTGAGGTTCTTCCTCTGTAGTCTCTCTCCCACCTGCCTCTTCCTTTGTATAGACTCCTTGTGCCCCTGTGTCTGCAGTGAACTAACCATCTGGGTCTACCCTGCCCAATGCCACCCACACCCCCAACGCTTTCTCTGCACTTTCCTCTAAGCTGACCTAAAAGCAGATCAGATGCCACCTGTGCCACCTTCTACCTACTCCTGAGAGGGTCTGCCCCCAGGCTGTTACTGCACTCTTTCCTTATCTGCTTACTTCCCAGCTGGACTGTAACTCTAGAAGGGAAGGATCTGTGTCTGAGATGTGTCTAAAGCCCTACAGAATTAAGGTTTTGTGCGTAGAACTTCTTTACTAAAATGCGTTTGAATATAAACGAAAATTCAATCCTTAGATCACAAAATTATCTTTAGAAGGTTTTTCAAAACTAGATTACCTGGGTTCCCCGCCTCCCCCATGTTCTCTCTATGGTCCTGGGCAAGCTAATATAATGCTATTGTCCCATTTCTTCATGTGGAAAGTGGGGATAATAACAGTATCTTATCGTGGTTATGGGTTCAGATGAGATCATCATGTAGAAGCACACTGCTGGACATGCTGTTTACGTAGTGTTATTAATACTAATAATGAAAACTTTCCCCCATTACTATGCTCTTAACTTGATTTTTATTAAAACTGCTTTACAGATGCCTTCAAAAGACGCATTAGCTTCTCTTTATGCCAACACTGCTCATTCTAAACTCAATACAAATAACAATTTTTTTTCTATTGGACCAGCATACACTGTGGCTGGTCCTAGAATATGGCCCTAAGCAGTGAGAGTAAAGCTTCGCATCTCCCTCAGCGCTATGTAGGTGTGGGTGCCCAGAACCAGCTCCCAGCCAGAGCGCTGCAAAGTGATGGCACCACAGCCCAGACGATTGCCGTGTTCTTCATTACCTTTGCCCTGGTCACAATCAAGTACATGAAATGACGGACTCCTTCTTACCAGTGGTCCAGCAGGGACACCAGCGGGGCCCGCACCAGGGTAGGCCGCAGGCCCACTTGGTTGTCCGGGGCCGGGCACTGGGGCATTAGGTCCGGGATAAGCAGGTCCTGTAGGGTAGGCGCCAGGAGGTGCCTGTCCGGGGTAAGCGGCAGGAGGTGCCTGTCCGGGGTAAGCGGCAGGAGGTGCCTGTCCGGGGTAGGCGGCAGGAGGTGCCTGTCCGGGGTAAGCGGCAGGAGGTGCCTGTCCGGGGTAGGTCCCAGGATAGGCAGCCCCCGGGTAGCTTCCTGCCCCAGCAGGCGGGTTTCCCCATGGACCGGGCCATCCTTGAGGGTTGGGGTTCCCAGACCCACATAAGGCATCATTAAGCTGGAAAAAAAAAGATACAATTCCTAGATGAAAAACATTCACAAAAACAGAATTTTTAGAAAAACAGGAATAAGAGATCTAAAGTGGAGGGACATATGAAGATATACAACTCATATCCATAAAAATGTTTCCACCTATTAAATAGTTTTGAGTTCCAAAGGCTCAAATTAGACTTTGGGATTATGTGCACTTTATCAGTACATGTCGCCCATTGTCTATATTGTGCAGGCTGCATTTTTGTAATTTGCTAAAATAGAGCTATCCATCCTCAGTGTAAAAGCATGTATTTTCTAACTGACATGAGAAAAATAATCACAAAAATCAGGATACTCAGACCGTACCACACATGCCATTGTCGGCTATTTCTCAGCGCCTGGCCCACAGAATCCACCCACTTCGGCCCCAGACCTTTCGGTAAAGGGGCTGCTCTTAGTGATCCCAGGCCTCTCTCTAGCTGGCTTTCTTCCCAGATCTATCACTGGAAAAACACGACTCCGGCCAACAAGCCCACAGTGGACAGGGGAGGCCAGAGGAAGGCACAAAGCGTTAGAAGGGAAAGTCTGGTGTTGAAAACAAAACTCTCCACCTCCATGGGATTAGGAAGTAAGACAGCAGACATAAAACACTTACCGAAAAGCCGTCTGCCATTTTCCTGAGAGGAGAAAAAAAAGAAAAAAGAAGATAGGTTATGATTTGACCTGAAAAGATTTCACTTAAATTTAAGATCACAAATAGTTTGTTGTGCAGTTCTAGTCAATTTATAGGCATTCTTCTAGCACAAGGCAATCTATTCCCAAAATCCATCTAAATCAATAGCATGGAACCACAAAGGTGTCTCATCCAAGGGTGGAGGTGCACTCCAACTGCGTTACCAAATCCTCTTTAACCCGAGCCTTCAGCTCCAATCACACTAGCTGTCCTTCCTGTGCTCCTCCCCCACCACCTCTTACAAAGGTCTGCATGTTAATATCAACCTCCCCCCACACCCTAGTTCTCACCGACAGCCCCTTGCCCTCTTGAGGGTTTTGGGAGGAAAGCAGTTGGTTGATTCTTAGGATCTGAAAGACATGCCCCTCAGATGGAGTTCTGCAGATTATTTATTCCTTCGTTTGCACACATTTGTGCCTGCTCTGCACGGGCGCGGTGAAGGCTCCTGTCTGGGTGTGCAGATGAACAGGCCAAGGCCTGTGTAGTCAAAGGCTCCACAGGCCGGAGGGATCACAAACGAGCATGCCATGGGCCAGACTGTGAGCTGCAGGAAGTCACAACCAGAACAGTTGCTTCTAAGAGGGGAGGTGTTGTTTGAGCTAAGCCTCGATGTGGAGCAATGAAGACAGGCAGGCACAAATGCTTGCTGTTTTGAAAAAGTACTTGTTGTTCCAAGTGAAATATTTGGCATTATAACAGACTAAAGTTAAAAAAAAAAAGGTTGGGCAATGTGGAGGAAAATATTTTGGGTTTGCCTTGCCCAAAGCTGCCTTAAGGGATGGCCTTGCTTGACACACCATTCTTGCTTTCTCCTGCTCCTCCCTGTACCTGCCAGGGTGTTTGATACCTGCTCCCACCGCAGACACTCCGGCACTGAGGGGAGGAGGGCGGCTTCTGCACCCTGAGGCGTGGGTGTGAGTTTTCTCGACTCAGGATCACCTACGCTATGGTCAGAATTGCCTGGACCTCAAACAGTCAGCATCTCTGTTTTCCGTGAGTTGCTCACTCATGATATTTACTCAATTATTTTCTTTTTTTTTTAAATATATTTTTTAATTGAATTCAGAGAGGAAGAGAGAGGGAGAGATAGAAACATCACTGAGGAGAGAGAATCATTGACTGGCTGCCTCCTG